CCGCCGCCCGGCCTGGCCGCCTGGCGCGCCCGCGTCCGCCGCGACCCGCGCCACTTCCTGCGCCTGTGTGCGCACCTCGACTGCACGCCCGACGTCTGGGCGCTGCACGACTGGAGCGCCTGGCTGACGCCCTTCACGAGCCCAGGCGGCCGCCGCTTCGACACGGCCTTCTTCGTGTGCTGCCTGCGCGAGCCGCCGCCCGTCTGCCCGGACTTGGCCGAGGTGGTGGCCTACCAGGTAGGGCGTCCTCACGGCGCCGAGCGGCGAACCGCGGGCACCTGAGGGTGCGCGCCCCGGCCGCAGCCTCCCGACAGGCCGAGACCCCAGAGGCTAATCCGGTCCCTCAGGGCCGGGCAGCCAGGACCTCGGTGAACGGGCAGGGGACGCGGGCCGCAGCCAGGACCTGGGTGAAGTGCCCTCTGCTTTCCCGCTCGCAGCCCTCAGGCCTCGACCCTGTGTCCCCACGCGGTCCCCCAGCAGCGCCGCTGCAGGGATCGCTGCCCAGGCGCCAGGCTCCTGCCCAAGCGCCTCACGCGCCTTAACTCACTTCATCCCCGCGGCAGCTCGGTTCTTGTTTCTCGGAGAACGTACTGTATGTGATTTGACTCTTTTAAAATTTATTGAGACTTGTGTTACGGCCATAAATATGGTCTACCTTGGGGAATGTTCCTTTTGCACCTAAAAAGAATGTGTATTCTGTGTTTGATGGAGTGTTTGTAAAAATGTCAATTAGGTTAAATTCCTTGATAGAGTCGGGTCTTCCATGTCAATTTCTTGTTACGTCGGATAGAGAACAATGCTGAAGTCTTCGAGGAATTTGTCTTTTTCTCTTTTCAGTTCTAGCAGGGTTTGCTTCGTGTATTTTGAAGCTCCCCTCTGGGGTGCTGATAGACGTTTAGGACTGTTAAAGCTTGATGGGTTGACCCTTTGATTATTATGAAGTATCCTTCTTTATCCCTGGTAGTACTCCTTAGTCTGAAATCTGAAGTTTGTCTGTCTGATACTAATAGAGCCACTCTACTTTTCTTTCAGTTAGCAATAGCATAGTGTATGTTTTTCCATCCTTTATTTGTAAACTATCTGTGTCTTTATATTTAAAGTGTGTTTCTTGTAGGCAACATGCAGTCTGGCTTTTTTATCCAATATGACAATTTCTGCCTTTTAATTGGAGTGTTTAGGTCATTTATGTTTAATGTTATTATCAATAAGGTTAGATTCAAATCTAACATCTTGCTGTTTGTTTTTAACCTGTCCCATCTATTCTTTGCAATGTTTTTCTTTTCCTGACTTCTCTTAGATTATTTGAGTATTTTTAGGACTCTATTTTAGCTCCATTATTGACTTACTAACTGTACCTCTTTGTGGTTGCTCTAGGCTTTGCAGTAATCATCTTCCACCTCATGTATAGTGCTGGAACCTTACAACAGTATACTTACATTTCTCCCCTGCCGTCCTTTATGCTATCGTTATCATACATTGGACTTTTATTGCTATTATAAACTCTACAATACATGATTATTTTTACCTTAAACAGTCAATATGTTAAAGACTTTGAAAATGAGGAAAAACGGTTGTTGATGGTTACCTACACGCATACCATTCTTAGCACTCTTCATTCTTTTTGTAGATTTAAATCTACATCTGGTATTTTTATGCATAAAGGACTTCCTCTAATGTGTCTTGTATTTCAGATCTTCTGACAATGAATCCTCTAAGTTTTGTTTATCTGAAAAATATTTTATTTTGCCTTCATTTTTTGAAAAATATTTTGGCTGGCTATAGAATTCTAGGTTAACAATTTTTTTTCTGTCAGTACTTAAAGACATTGCTGCATTATTTTCTGGTTTGCATAATTTTCTGATGAGAAGTCTGTTTTTAACTCTTTTGTCTCTTTGTACATAATTTATGGTTTGTTTTGTTTTCTTGGTGTGTGTGGCTACTTTGAATATTGCCTCTTATTTATTGGTTTTCAACAATTTGATTATCATGTACATGGGTTTCTTTCTTTTTTTTTTCTTTTTGGTGAGGAAGATTAGCCCTGAGCTATCATCTGTTGCCAGTCTTCCTCTTTTTGCTGAGGCAGATTGGCCTTGAGCTAACATCTGTGCCCATCTTCCTCTATTTTATATATGGGACGCCTGCCACAGCATGGCTTGATGAGCTGTGTGTAGGTCCCGGCACAGGATCCGAGCCTGCAAACCCTGGGCCGTGGAAGTGGAGCTTGTGAACTTAATCACTATGCCACCAGGTCAGCCTCTTTCTTTTTGTTTTATTATTTATTTATTTTTTCAAATATTTTTCACTTCCCCTCATGCATGTTAGACTACTTGATAATGTCCCATAGGTCACTGATACCTTGTTAATTTTTTTTTCCAATCTTTTTTCCTCTCTGTGCTTTATTTTGAATAGAGTCTATTGCTATTTTTCAAGTTGTGTGTTTTCTTGTGTAGTATCTAATCTGCTGTAAATACTATCCACTGTATTTTCGTTTCAGACATTTTTCATCTCCAGAAGTTCCATTTAGTTCTTTTCAAGTATTTTTTGCTTCTCTCATCATGTTCATATTTTCCTTTATGTCTTTGAGCCAATGGAACATGCTTGTAACAGTGGTTTTAATGTTCTTTTCTGCTAATTCCATCATCTCTGTTATTTCTGGGTCTGTTTTTGTTGACTGATTTTTCTTCTAGTTATGGGTCACATTTTCTTGCTTTGTCCTAGGTCTTGCAGTTTTTGATTGGATATTGGATATTGTGATGTTTAGTTGAGTACTGGATTTTGTCATATTCCTTTAAGATTGTTGGACTTTTCCTGGCAGGAGTTAAGTTATTGCAAATTAACTTGATCCTTTTGAGGTTTGTTTTGTAAGTGGTTTTAGTGTAGGTCTAGTAGCCTTTATTCTAGGGCTAATTTAGCTGCACTTCTAATGTGCAACCCTTCTGGGGTCTACTCAGTGCCCCTTATATTCAGCAAGGTTTCTCCCCTGTGGTTGGAGGGAATTTGAAAAGTTCCTGGCCCTAAGTGAGCCCTGCGAATTATTAGTCTTAAAGCTCCCAGGTAATGGTTCTTTTCTCAGGAATCATCGTTTTCTAGTGTGTGCTGTGGTTTGGGGATTATCTTTAGGCAGAAAGCACTCACAATGGTAGAGTTCACTCATTTGTTTTCCTTTTCTCGCAAATTACAATTTTGCATTTTTCAATGTCCAGAAATGGTAGTTTCATAGCTTTTGTCCACTTCTCTATTGTTTATATTATGTTGGGGGAAGGTAATTCTAGCATTCATGGCTGGAAGAGGAGATTCCATAAACAATTTTTTTTTTTTTAAAGAACATTTTATTTCTTTTTTTTTTTCTGGGAAAGATTCACCCTGAGCTACCATCTGTTGCCAATCTTCCTCTCTCTTTTTTTTTTATCTCCCCAAAACCCCAGTACATAGTTGTATATTCTAGCTGTAAGTCTTTCTATGTGAGCCGCCACCACAGCATGGCTACTGACAGACGAGTGGTGTGGTTCCACGCCTGGGTACTGAACTTGGGCCGCCAAAGCGGAGCGTGCTGAACTTTAACCACTAGGCCTTCAGGGCTGGCTCCATAAACAATTTCTAACCTGGTCCAGGCTGGTGGTTCTCAGCAGGGGATGATTCACCCACCCAACCCCGGGGTATTATTTGGCAGTGTCTGGAGACATTTTTGGTTGTCACAACTCGGGAATTTCTACTGGGTAGAGCCCAGGGGTGCTGCTAAATATCATTCAGTGCACAGGACAACCTGCCACGACAAAGAATCATCTGGCCTAAAGTGTCAATAATGCTGAGGTTCAGAAACCTAGTAGAAACAGAGTGGAATTTAGAGCCCCCTGCCCCCTACCCCCGATTTTGAATCCCAGATTTTCTAGTTAGAGGAGCTTCCTGAATTTCCTCATCTGTAAAATGAGAGTATGCAGGGTTGTCCTAAGGATTGGAAATATTGTATGTAAAGTATTTTGAGCAGTGCTTTACTGCTCAAACTTGTTGGTTACTTGTAAAGCAGTAAAGCACTGCTCAAAATACTTTACAACAAGTAACCAATAAATAAGTTTTTTTACCCTATGGATTGGACTAACCTGAATAGGTTGAATTATGTGGGTTTATGCGTTTGTTTAACCTGTCACCTTGATTGTTATCACTGAACTCACTTGGAAGTGACAAAGCAGAATGCTTGGTAAATAACTTAGAGATCCAGTGGTCATTTGAGGTCCGAGCTTTGTTTTTCAAAATGCAACCTTGGCCAACTTCAGAATAATCTGGGGTGCTTGTTAAACATAGATTGCTGGGCCTCACAGATTGAAGATTTAACAGGTTTCTCAGGGGCTATTTAAGCACATACAAGCTTGTAAACCTTTGGCCTATAGTTGTGCAAGGCAGAAATCACTTTCAACTCCCTGGGTTTGGGCGTGGGAATCAGTTTCCAGCAGTGAAGTGGATATTTAGTGAACCAGTTAAAGGAAGATCTTTTGGAGTTATTCCATATTTATTGAATCAGCTCTTTTTATCTAAATATGTATGGAAGGAAGGCTTGGGAAGGAGGGCAGGTCACAGCAGTGAGGCAAACAGTGTCTGGTTGATACCCTGCTATTATTACACTTGTGGGACTGTAGACTGAGTCATGCCTGTCGACCTTCCTGAAAGCCCCTATTGCTTCTGACTCTTTACCCCCATTGTAACATGTGACACACATCATGTTACATTTTGTTTCCTGAAGGCCCCATAGGACCTGAGAGAACTTTGTCTTGTCTACAACCACATCTCTCAGGGCTCAGCCAAGGCACTCACTTATGTGAGGAACAAATGGGCACTAAATTCTCAATCTGCTGTCCTGAGTTTACATTTCAGAGTCATCTTTCCTTTGGGAGTGACCAGAACCACCTTGCATTCTCAGCATTTCCTGCCTTTTATGCTGAAAAACTCTCCCAGGTCAACCCTTGGTGATCTATCCTGGTTTATTTGCTAGTTCTCAGAATCACTGTCCTAATAATCAACCTCTTAAGGTGATCAACCCAGCTTTCTTCACTGAATCTTTTCATGTTGTCTCCGAGGAATCTAGTAAGACACAGTAATGAATTAATTTTACATCTTCAATTAGATCTTAGGCACTGGTCTAATGATCTCCAATCTTGCATTGTCTATGGAATAAACCTTAGGAAATCCTACCTTTGTCTTCCACAGTGGTCATCTCCATCAGAGGCAACTGAATGTTTCGTAGCAGAAAAAATTTGGTTGGCACCCCCACAGTTCTACGAAATAAGAAGACTGGAAAACTTTGCCTCTCTCTCTGACTTGCACAAGTTTTGTTTGGATCGTGCATTAGAAGGGACGGAACGGTGGCTGCCAATCACATTATTAACCGCTGATGGGAGGCTCCAGCTTTTACCAGGTAAATGCTATTGTTAGTATTCACATTTTTTTTTTTTTTTTTGAGGAAGATCAGCCCTGAGCTAACATCCGTGCTAATCCTCCTCTTTTTGCTGAGGAAGACTGGCTCTGAGCTAACATCTATTGCCAATCCTCCTCTTTTTTTTTTCCCCCCAAAGCCCCAGTAGATAGTTGTATGTCATAGTTGCACATCCTTCTAGTTGCTGTATGTGGGACGTGGCCTCAGCATGGCCAGAGAAGCGGTGTGTCGGTGCGCGCCCAGGGTTCCGAACCCGGGCTGCCAGCAGCGGAGCGCGTGCACCTAACCGCTAAGCCATGGGGCCGGCCCAGTATTCACATTTAATGCACTGGCCCAGATGGCAGCATTGCCCGACACAGAGACGTGAATTACAGTCTGTGTTTCACACACTACAGCAGTATTAATTAAATAAGGTCAAAGTCTATAAGATAGTCATAGTATTTATTATAACCAGAAGTTCTGAATAAGTCTCTTTATAGACACACATGTATATTTATGTAAATATGTTTCCTAGACATTGACAAAGTTCTTTCTCATATATGCTCTCACTTTTTTATACTTTAATTTTGAATCATGAGAACGTGTTAATTGTCAGCTTATTTGAATTAGGAGTTTGTTGGAGGTCAGTTGTTGGGCAAGTGCAGGATGGAGGTTTTATTCAGAATGGGGCTTTGTGACCTGTCTTATGGCTACCTGTCTCAGTTCTCAGAAATGTGATAATATTTGTTACTTATCCTACAGTGGGACATTTTAGCAGTTTTGATGTGTAATTGATAATTTCTCTAATTAACCTTAAAATTATTAGAGCAGCTCACGTTGAAACATCAAAAATGTATGGATATCAAGGACAATATTAATATTGACTGGGTTAAAGAGAGTCATGAACTAGTATAAAAGTTATAGTTCATGATTAAAAAATACCAATCATAAAAATTTATGTGCCCAAAGAAAATTCTTGGCTGGAGATTGGGGAGCTGGGGGTGTATAGGTATTAAAAACACAAGAAAGAAATTGAGGTAAGCTTATAAAATTAGGGTTATTTAACAACTATCTCAGTTCCAAATACATGAAATAGATAAAAATAAATACAGATTTATGTGTCACTAATATATTGGAATGTTTTATAAAATAACACTTTGTGGAATTAAAATACTATTTTTCAGGTGATGAGCTATACTTAGAAGATTCAGACTTTTTAGAAAATCTTTTGTCCACTGAAAAAAAGAATGAAGAAATTGTGAAGGAAGGCAAGAAACTTCACCGAATAGTGATATACAGTCGTCATGTTTATAGTATCTACGTGACTGTTCAGTCAGCATATAAACACGTTTATCCTAAGAACTATGTAGTAAGTAAGAGCCGTTTGTAGAGTACTGCTTATTTGTAAACTGGCCTACCTGATGGTGTCCTAATGAATAATGAAAGTTGACTAGCTTGCTTGGAACGTAAGGAACTTTGGGCTATAGTTTTTCATATTTCAAGTATATTTTGGAGCTCTCTTGCTTATTTTATTCTTTAAATCTTACAGTATTACACAAGTGTAAAGAATTAATGATCTCGTTACCAAAACGAGAAAAAAAATTTCACAAGGGTTTCCACTTCTGTATTGTTTTATTATCAAAAGGTTAAACAGGGCCTAGCCCAGTGGCTTAGTGGTTAAGTTCGTGCACTGCACTTTGGCGGCCTTGGGTTTGCAGGTTCAGATCCCAGGTGCAGACCTACACACCTCTCATCAAGCCGTGCTGTGGCAGCATCCCACATAGAAAATAGAGGTGGATGGGCACAGATATTAGCTCAGGGCCAATCTTCCTCACCAAAAAAAAAAAGTTTAAATAAGATGTTCTACCGCCATTGTCTTTTAACTGTCCAGTATATTAGCACTTTTCTTGATGTGCCTAGGAGATTGATCCATGAATTCCTTAAGTTTTCTGCAGAAATTAATTTAAGGGTGTCTGATTACATGGTGAACAGTAGACCGAGATGACCTTCAAGTGACAATGTCATTATTTTCTTATATCTTTAGCCTGATGATTAAGATACAATTCTGTTCAAAACCAAATGGCAGGGGCTAGCCCGGTGGCGCAAGCGGTTAAGTGCGCGCGCTCTGCTGCGGTGGCCCGGGGTTTGCCAGTTCGGATCCCGGGTGCGCACCGGCGCACCGCTTGGCAAGCCATGCTGTGGCGGCGTCCCATATAAAGTGGAGGAAGATGGGCATGGATCTTAGCCCAGGGCCAGTCTTCCTCAGCAAAAAAAAAAAAAGAAGATTGGCAGATGTTAGCTCAGGGCTAATCTTCCTCACACACACACAAAAGAAACCAAATAGCATTAGTTACTAGGTTTACCAAATTGGAAACCAATTTCAGTTACTATTTTAAAGAAATAGGAAGCCATAAAAAACTATGATTATTTTTACTATGGAATGCTAGTTAATGAATACAAAGAGGTTAGAGAGATGCAGCGTTTAAAGGTATTTATTAATGATGTTTATTTTCAGTATTTTTAATATGGGTAATTTTTTCATGTCCTCTTAAGAGAAATAATATTCATTGATTAAAGATGAGAAATGGTTAAGACACTAGTTCTATTTCAGATCTTTGACTATATTATGCATTGTACAATGGATTTCGTTTTCCATGAAATCTTAGTTTTCCTACCTATAAAATAGAAGTATTGATAAATAAAGTTTATGTGTATTGTTTAATCCTGATTAGAGGAATATGTTTACATCAGTGGTTCTCAACCCGGGGTACTCGCTCACCCTTCAGGGGACATTGGAAAATGGAAACATTTTTGGTTGTCACAACTAAAAGTGAGATGCTACTACCACCTAGTGGGGAGAGGCCAGGGGTGCAGTTAAGTATCCTACAATACACAGGACAGCCACCCACAACAAAGAATTTTATCTGGCCAAGGCTGAAAAACTCTAATCTAGAGTAAAATCTATTTTCTTCAGTAAATGGCTCCAATATGTAAATTCTGAGAACCACAGATACTGTTAGCATTCCATCTGGCTTCTGAATCTACAGAAGTTCTCCTTACTGACTTTTGGCCTTGGGCATAATATTCTTTCATTTCCACAGGAAATAGAATGTTACAGCTGGAAGAGACTTCAGTGAACACCATGATTTGGCCAATGAGAAAACTGAGAAACAGATTTACGCAGCTAGTTAGTGCCACAGCCAAGAGTAGATAGAGCCTGATGGTTTGTTGAGCGTATGTTGCCTGTCACCAAAAGCAGAAGTCTGAACACTTCTGCCCACTACATCTTGGTGTTATAGTCGCATTGGTCCCCCATGGCCAGCAGGTCCCCTCCCAGCTGCTAACACAGGGCAGTTGGCCTTCATGCACCCCTCTTGTGCTGCAGTAGAAGGACCCCGTCTCTTCCCTGCAGGGGACAGACACAGTAGTGGGGCTGGCCAGGTGCCATATGATGCGTACACTCAGAGCAAGGGAGCACACATTGAGTCTGAAACAGGGAAAGATATTTCCACACAAGGCGACAAGTCCAGCACAGGCTGTAGGACTCGCTTATCTTTTAGTAAGGAAGTGTTCCAGGCCCAAGGCCCATTCCTATGCAGCTGAGAGAGGACTGCCTGCATGACACTGCCTTTCCCAACACTCCCAGCCCTGCCCCCTCTTCACAGGAGTTATGTGAGTCAGTGGGTGATTTTAGGAGATGTAGTGATAAAGTAATGTGACTGGGTTTTCTTCATAAAGATATATTTTTTTGTTTTTAATCTGAATGAACCTTGTCTCCTTTGAAGAATTCCTTTTGGGAGACTGTCACATAACTCCCTACCTGTGGTGAAACCCTAACCCCCAGCCCAAAATAATAGGGCTTCCCTCATGTGCTAAAAAAGTGTTGTCTTAGGCCCACCTTGCTAGTGTTTGTGGCATTTATCATATGGTCTTTCTTACCTCATGTATTCAAGCTACCTGGGCCTCAGACATAGAAGCAGACAGCTGATTTCTTGTCCCTACCCCTCCTCCTCCTAGTCATCTTCCTTTCTCTGCTGGTATCTCTACTCCATGCCATCTTGTCCAGGGCACAGCCGGGAAAACTCATTTTCTATGATACCGCACAATCTCTTAAAACTGCAGTTATAAACTCAGGAATAAATACTAAGTTGGTATACATTTTTGTTCCCTACCTTTTTTTGGTGATTCTTTTGGATGACTTCATAAGAATCCAAAACTGGGATGGCATCAATGTTTTAGGCTAACATGTCTTGTCCTCACAGTTCTTTGTTAATAAAAATAAAACGAGTGGGAGATATAATAATAACTCATGTATAAGGGGACTTTCTCTCTTCTGAGGGATAATTTATGGGTGCGGGGAGCCGTCATATTTGGGCATAAGTAGTTAATTCATAGTTTCCCCTCTCTCCTCAGACCTCTATTTTTTTCAGCCTCTCTGCAACTTTTGACAGTTTTCCACTCCTCCTTGCTCCCCCTGAGCCACTCTTCCCCTGTCTTCTTTAATTTCTTCTCCTCCAACTGAGGTTTAGATGTTAGAGTCCCTCAATACTTGTTCTCTCCTTGGGTGACATAAGCGACTTCCAGGTCACATCCTTAAAAAATGAAATTGCTTGCCCTCCACTTGCTCTTTTTGCTTCTCACTGGCTGGAAATGGTGACAACTGGAGCAGCTACCTTGGGCCCAGAGACAGAAGCCAGACGTTAAGGCATAACTGCCTGCCAGACTTGACTCTCAGCTCTTGCTTGTTATGTGAAAGAAAGTACACTTCCACTATATTTTTGGGTCTCTTTCTTAAAACAGTTTAGCTTGTTCCCTAACCTATAATTTTTCCCTCCTAAGGAGGTTTCTTAAGCAGTGTTCCCTATATTGGAAATCTACCAGTTATTTAAGCTAAAAATCATAGTCATTCTTGATTCCTCTCTTTCCTTCATTCCTATATCCAGGTGACTAGCAAGTTCTGTTGATTGTATTACCCACAATTATCTTGAATTTCCTGTTTTCTGACCTCTGCACTATTATCACCTTATTCTAAGCCACAGTCATTTCTTACCTAGCTAACTCTTTTTTTTTTTTTTTTAAAGATTTTATTTATTTATTTTTCCCCCCAAAGCCCCAGTAGATAGTTGTGTGTCACAGCTGCACATCCTTCTAGTTGCTGCATGTGGGACGCGGCCTCAGCATGGCCGGAGAAGCAGCGCGTCGGTGCGAGCCCGGGATCCGAACCCGGGTCGCCAGCAGTGGAGCGCGCTCACCCAACCACCAAGCCACGGGGTCGGCCCCCTAGCTAACTCTTAACAGCCTTGGAGCTAGCCTCTCCACTTTCATTCTTCCCCTCACAATGCATTCTCCCATTGAGCTGGAAAAGTGATCTTGACATTGAAATGTAAGTCATGTCCTGTCACCGCCCTCATTAACACCTTTCAGTGGCTTTTCTTCACACTTAAAAACTAAATTTACTGTGGCCTACAGGGCCCCACCTTTCTCTCTGATCTCATCGTTCACCCCTCTCCTACACTCCCATCAGAATGGTCTTTCTGTCTTTGACTACTTAAAGTTCTTTCCCACCTCAGAATCTTTGCACATATTGTTGCCTTAAGACAAACTTGGATCTCTGAAGAATTTTTTTTCTTGAGTGTCTTTGTTACTACAGCCTCAGAAAAACAGATGAGGATGGGCATCCAATATGTGGATTATTGGCATGTCTGAAAGAAAATTCCAGAACAAATAGAAGAAAAGCATTATTTAGAGAATAGAACAAAGTGGTGTTGAGCTGAAGAAAAATGTTGATCTTCAGATAAAAAGGCCCTGTTGTGGTTAAAGCAAAATTAATAAAAATTGTTCAATTCCTGGATGACATTTTGAATTTCAAAGATAATGTATGCACAGGTTTTCAGGAAGAAAAAGAAAAGATTGCTCACAAAGATACAAAATCAGGTTTCTGACTGTCACAGAGTACTAGGATATACTGGACAGCGTATATAATATGTTGAAGAAAAAAGGCTATGTGTGCTCAATAATTTTATGTCAACCATGTGTGAAAGCCACAGATATAATTCTCATATATGGGCTCTGAAGATTCCACCCATTCTAAAAAAATTCACTTGCTAGAAATACTATAGATGACTGAAAGATTAATCAAAATAAAAACTTTTGAAGTAGAAGTGCATGGTAGAAGTCATGATGGTAATTGTGGAAATCAATTAAATATAGGAAGTAAATGTGAATAATATGGCTATAAAGCACCACAAACGTTAAAAATAATTCAAATTTTAACCTATTTTGTTAAAGCACCTTTTTCATAAAAATAATTTGGTTTAATAATATAATTATGGTATCATAAGCAGGAAGTGGCTATGGGAAGAATAAGAAAAAACATGAGAGGAAGGAATCAATAGCTGTAGTTTTGTGATAATAAATAGCTGTGTAAGTGTTTTTAAATGTAAAAGTAGCTAGTAGAATTAAAAAT